TTGAGAACAAATAACGTTAAAAAACTGACTCCAATTACAAAATAACATTTTAAAATATATTAATTTTAAAAAATTTGGTAAAAAGACATCTTAATCATAATTTTGATAATTAATATTTCCATTATTGTGGATTTTACAAACGAATATATTACTGTATTATTTATAAAATATAATAAAAAAGCGATATTTTTTGTACGTTTCAAGATCTAATTATTTCCACAATAATAAATACTTGTTGAAAATAACAATTATTAAATTTATTTATCAAATAAAAGAAAAATCAATTTACTGTGTTAAAAAAAATAATTTGTTAATCAACAAAAATGAATGTAATACTAACCAATGAGTCATGAAAAAACAAAATACAATTTAATTAAAAAACTAATAATTAATAGTAACCTAAAAACCAAAAGTCGGGTGTTTTATTGTATACTTCTTCATTTTCGACTAAATTTTTAACTTTTAATACAAAATAATATAAACATTTGATTATGCAAATAAAATACTTCAGTCTTTTCTTCATATTATTATCACTCGTTGTTATTTCACTAGTTTTTCAAATTTCTTTTAGTAGCAACCATTTAATGCTTAACAGCGCTGAGAAGAATATATCTTCTCAGAACACTTCAAACACACAAACTAACACATTTTTTAATACAAAAAATTTAAATAAAACAAATACAAATTACTCTTTAAAAAGTTTTACTGTTGATTATTCGTATCCCAAATATGTTCAATTATACACATACGCACGACCAAATTACACGTACAAACAGCCTATACACATACATAATACAAAATACCCTCAAAACACATTATTAGCAATGATCCACACTCTTCCCTCTCATTTGGTTCACATTAAAAACACTCGACAGACGTGGTGTCAACGGAACTATCAAGACATTTTTGGTTTCAAGTGTCTTTTCATTCTTGTAAATAAGACAGTAGAAGACTATGACAACACTCATCCCAAAGAAAATATTTTTAAAACACTTTTAACAATGAATTCGACATATAACGACATTTATTTGATTGACATGCCCGGTCTCCAAGAGTCGTGGACTACTTTACAACAAAAGAACATAGCGGCGTACACTCAAATATACCCACTGTATACCTCTTATAAATTCTACGCTAGAGTCGACGATTGTGTGATGGTCAACGTCGAAATGTTAATGGACGTTTTAAATGAAATTCCATCGAATAACACGGTCGTCGGAGATTTCTGGAATCACGCGCCTTGGAAAGAACCCGGGAAGAAATATTATGATAAACTGGCAAGTCGATATTCGTTGTATTACACATTCCCTTCGGGCTATTTTTCTATCTTTTCTAATGATATTACTCACTTCTTTGCAGACTGGGATAAGTATTATAATATCGCACCAAGCTCTTTGGAAGATCCAGGATTCGGATTTTTAATTTGGAAATATACAAAGGAAAATAACATGAAAGTCAATTTGATTAAACCAAAATTGTGGGGAGGGCAAATTAAGGCTAAATACGGAAACTACATCGTGTTCCATGGTATGATTGGTGAAATGAACCAAATTGATTTCTATGATAGGTCAATTAAAGACGGACATTTTGTGAATTGAAAATAATGGGTTTATTCAATTAATAATAATTGATATTTTCATTTTTGAAGTGGTATTCGAAAATTTTATTTTTTGTATTTTTATTGAAAATACTTTTTAAAGTTTATAAAGTCTGTCTTTAAACGTTATTTAGTACCTTTTGGACCATAAATATTGGAATATATAGGAAATTGTTCTAAAAATCCATCCCAATTGTACTTGGAATTTTCACATTTTACCTTATGCCCGATGTTTAGACATTATCAAAGCTATTTTTGTCAAATAAATAACGTTTAAGACTAATAAATTAAAATACTAACTCTATTAAACTGTTATATAAAGTCAGATTTTTAAGTAACGATGGAGAAAATTAACTATACATTTAGTTTTTTAATTATAATCAATAACTTTTTTTCTTTTTTTTTCGAAATAATTATTTTTTTGTTTTATTTTTAAAATTATTTACTTTATAACCAAATTATACATCCAAAAAAGGAAAGCAAGAAATGTGGAGTTTGTAATTCATCTCTGATGAATTCTCGAGTAATATCAACCAACCGGCAGACCATTTAATATAGTTAATCAAATGAGTGTCATTGTTGTGATGTGGTTAATAGGTTATACCAACTGATTTGAAAAGCAAAGAAAACGATTGACAACCAGCGTTTCTTTGAAAATGTCAAATGGTAAAATTTAATAAGAAATTTACTATTTATTTATGGTTTTTAATTGGCGATGGTCGATACTATATATTATAATATAAAAAAATAGATATAGTAAATTTTTTTGTTGTATTTTTGGAATATCGTTAATTAGAAATCAGACTTTATATACAAAGTTTGTTTCAATTAGTAATTATGATAATATAATTATCTAACACAATAATAATTTGTAAAGTGAATTGTAAATTTTGATTTATTTAATAAATACCAAATTTGGAGATCGTATAAACTGAGTATATATGTTGAAAATTGTGATATGATATAAAATGTGATTAAAAGAATATTTTTTATATTCTACAATATGTTAATTTTATTCGAATATTTTTAACAATTATTTATTGTAATTAAAAAAACATTTCAAAAGTTATTATTATTCGTTTATTTATTTCATAATAGTATATAAATCTTTATTTTATTTTAATTCATGTTTTTTATTTCAAAATATTTGTTAAAATGATTTCATTAAAAAATATTAATTTTTTTGTTTTCATTGATGTAAAATGATAAAAAAAACAGGTCATAATAACATTTAACATAATAAATTGTCGTGTTTTTGTAAAAATTGACAAATTATATTTGAAAGTAACATTTGAATGATTCATATAATTTTAATATATATATATATATATAAAGATAGATTTTGAATTCATTACCGGGATATTTATTAACCTCTAAAACATATAATTAATTATAATTGATCAAAAACGAGAATTATTTCGAAAATCCTAAAAATTTGTTATTTTTGAGGTTATAGGTATCAAATGATAATTTCATATATAAAGAGAACTGCAACTTCAATCAAATCAAAAAAGATGATTTCATTTACTTTCTTTGCACTTCTTTCGTTCTCCTCTGCAAGTTACATTATTGCTAACGACACTTCTTTAAAATTCTTTGTAATTGAAGAGAACGAATGTTATCAAGGTGAAGACGGAGTTTTCAAATTGGTGTTATCCGAGGACTTCAAAACAGTATATGTATTGAAAGGGAGACTTTGTAAAGAACTTACAATGCAAAAAACTTACACCAGTGGATTTGCTGTTACAAATAAAATTCCACCAAATTTTGTGATTCAAAAGATGTATTTCATTTCAAGGTCATGTAAGAGCAACCCAGAGGCAAGAGACGATGCTTGGTACTATCCATATGGGTGCCTTAACTACAATACTTTTTCTTTAAATATTTCTGAGACTGAAAATGGGTTCCAAAAGGCAAAATTCATGAATAATAATTGTGTTGGCGATCCAATCCAAGTCGATAAGTACGATTTCTTTACTTGCTACATGAAGAATTTAACTCATTCCGAGCAGTATGTCCCAGGGGAACAATAAATTATTTTTATTCTATTGTTAATGGTTTAGAAATTTAATAATGACAACATGAAAAAATCATATTTTTAATTGTAAATTGAAATTTACAATTTGAATTATTTATAAATAAAAAATAACAATTACAAGATATTCAAATTGTTTAATCCTTTATGATACATGATATTATTTTCTGATTATTTTAATTTAATTTTTGTATGGTAATATTTATAATTAAATTTAATATGAGTGTCTATTCTTTCTATTTAAGGTTGTAATTTTTTATTAAACATTGTTTTAAACTTTTGTTATTTCCAACAATTAAAATATAAAAAAAATTAAAAATGGCATAGTTTTTTAATTCCCTTTTTAATTTTATTTAAATACCAAAAGTTTTTGTTTTTTACTTTGTTTTATAAGACCCTATCAGCTACATAACACATTTTTATAAAAGAAACAATTATCAAGACCATTTCAACAAACAAAATTAAAAATTTTAATATTAATTTATAAAAATATATTGGGTATTAATTTATAAATAAAATAATGACTAAATCAAATACCCAATCAATTTTAAAATAATTTGTCAATTGATACAATATCAATAAATTAAAAATGTGTTAATATTGTTATTACTAAATGAAACATGACAGTATATATAGTAGTATAATTATTCAACTTTCTTATTACGTTTTTTAACTATAGTTTAAGTACAACCACAAGAACTTACAATTATGGATGATTTGGAACGCGAGATTAACAAGTTAAAAAACGATTTGATATTAGAGTTGATCAAAATGTCGAATCTGTTGATGTTTAGTTCTTTGAAAGTATCACTTGCTATACAAAACAAAATGCTCAGTAATGTGAGTTATCTAAAACGGTCCATTATTAGAATTCAAAAACAAAATGAAATACTAGAAGATGAAATTATTATGTTGAAAAAAAATAATACATTAATTGTTAATGGAATTCTAGAGATGTATTTAGACACAATTATAGCTCCAAGATTACAAATTAAAAAGCAAGAGTTCAATAAAACGAGTGATGATGACACTGAAATAGATGAAGAAGATTGTAAAATTGTATCTCAAACCACAAAACCACCAAAAAGACCTATTGATAAAAGAGACAAACGTCTTATCAAAAAGATCGAGTTATTTTGTAATAAAAAGTAAAATAATTACTACAGTTGTTATTCATTTCTAGTACTGTTCAATTATGAAATTCTGTATGAAATTGAATTATAATAGATATATATAACATGTTTATTATAATAATTAATATAAAAATACTATTCATTTAAAATAAATAATTTTTTATTATAACTATATAATTAATTAATCGTATTATTAATTATAAAATAATATAATAATTACTAGATGTTAACCCGTCACTCAGTGACGGAAATATTTAATAAAGAAAATGATTTTTCTGTCTGTTTGTACATTTATAATTTTGTAAATTTGTTTAGTTAATCAAATTAAACATATACTATATTAGATGTATACTATTTATAGATTTCTCTTTGAGCAACTTAACAACGATAAAACGATAGTTAACACAGAAATGTTAACCATCGTTTCGTAAATTTTATTATAATTTGTGGTTGTTTTTAGTAAAATTGTATTATACTATATGTTTAATAGTATAAAACTATTAAGAATTACAACAAAATTAATAAATAAATATAAAAATTATTAATTATTAATATAATAATTATAGTAAATTTTAAACAAATGATCAATTAAACGTATAACACTTTCCAACAGTTAATCCTCTCCAAACACCTTATTAAATTCCTCATAAGAGATTTTCCCGTCTTTGTTCTCGTCAACCTCATCAAAGAATTCATCGGGCACAATATTTTTAAGATCACCTGCGTGGTCGAAAATTTTTGATTGTAACACTTTAAAAAATTTTTTAAATTCTTCTCTGTCGATATAGCCGTTGTGGTCTTTGTCGGTGCATTTGAACATAAAGCGTGTGAAGTAGTCTTTTTCTTGACTATCTTCTTGAGCATAATCGTTGCAGATACTCACAAACGTTTCAGCCTCTTCTTTAGAAAAGATCTTCTTGTTAGGGTCAGAGGTAATGTACAATGAAAGGATTTTAAAATTGTTTACTACGTCTTTGTGGTTCACTTTGCTTGTTACTTTATTCACAAAAGCAGAGCTGAATCCGTCGATTAATTGTGAGACGGGGACCGATCCATCGGCGTTCTTCAGTTTCTCGTAAATAGCACTTGCAGACATAATTATATAAGAGTTTGAAGTTCATTCTAGTTTACACACAGTTCTATTAAATACTATAATTTATTATCGTTTTTATTATATTAATCCAATTTCAATTTGTCAGAGAAAAAACACATTCAAAAAGTTCAAAGAGCGAATTAAAAAGGATTTTTCAGTTTGAAATACAATTTTGATTTATTATAATAAAATTGTTTGTGTGTATTTTTTTAAAACATTTAATTGTTGCTTATTTTTATTAAATCAAAAATTCGAATCAGAAATTATATTTATGGTTAATTATAGATAAATTATAATATAAAATAATATACAAATTATAACAATTAGATATTGTTTTTATTATAATACAAATATTAATTTTGACGATAAACAGTACTATAATCATCATGATTACTCAAACTCATTTGCTTAATAGATATAAGATGAGAAGTTTAAATAACTAAAGTTTGTGCTTGTCTGTATTGTAATTACTAAAATTGATATTTATGTTAAAATATATTATGTAATGTGTATATTTTAAGCGTTATAATGATTATCAATTATTTAAATACATATTATAAAGTATATCAGTGTTAAAATAATACTATTCAATTTTAATACTTTATTTTGATGAAACATTTATATTTATTTTAATTATATAATTTAATAATTTTTTGAATATTATTAAAATTTAGAATAAATAAATTGGTTATTGTATGTTGTTTTGAGTTGATAGAACAATTAATAAAATTATAGTGTTAAATTTATCTTAAACAAACATGGAAATGTAAAGAAATAATAATCAATTAGAATAAGAAAAGGAGTGATAGAGATAAGATTAGCACAAATATTCCAAATGCACTATTAACGAAATATTCACTGGTGTGATTTCCACAGAATCCAGTTGTTTGATTTAATTCTAAACCGTTTTTACATCCAACAAGTACGCATTTGTTGTAATTATATTGACCATTTTGGCAAATATGACCACCCACACTATCTTTATTTCCAATGCATTTATCATCAAAGATATACATTCCTTCATCACATCGAGTTCGATATTTTTCAAACACTCTCTGAGCTTCTTCGAGAAATTTTGTGATACTTTCTTCGCTTTCTTCAAAGGCTTCGTTCTCAAAATATTCGTGAGGATAATGAATGTTGTACTCGTCCGGTATTTTTGGAAAGCTGACATTTCTTGGATATGTAGGAGAAAATGATATTTGCATTTCAAATCCATATTCATCAAATTCATCAAGTTCTTTTTCTTTGTTTTCATCGTTTGTGTTGTTGTTATATCTGATCAATTTGTCTGTAATGACGACAGTGGGACTTTGCCCAACATCCCTCTCTTGAATAGTTGAATAAGGAAGACCAGAATATGCCACCAAAAGTGCTGCATTTTTCTGTCTAAAATCCTTTGATAAAAAGGAGCAAGCAGAGAAACAGAATTGGTCTGTGAACATGATAATTTGATTTGGATTTCTTACGTTTTTCATGTTGTATTTCATTTTAAATTCTTTTTCATATACCGATTTTTGAGTCCTCACAAATTTAGACTCACCACCACTTTTAGAAACAAAAACGTCTGTTACAGGAGAATCGTACCATTTTCCCAAGTCTTCTTTATAATACTCTTTTTGTCTTGGAATGCGACTTTTCTTTGTTTTGGGATCTAATAATTGTGCTGCACCTCCACTTCTCATAACTATTTCCGTCGACTCTGAAATTCTTTGGGAGACTAACACATCAAAAACATTATATGGTGCTAAACTGTCTTGTATGTGAGCTGAGAGATCAACAGTTCCTCCTGAATTGTTATCCAATATCACTACAATTGGATCGTCAGATTCATCAAACAACTTTTTGCACTGATCAGTAAGAGCTAAGAATTTGTCAAAGTCTGAGTTAAATGTATATACAACTAAAATATAAAACTTTTGATTCGAAACGACTCGCTGACCACAAGCAATAACATCTGGTATTGAATAATTAAATAAATCTCCATTCTTTTGTTTTGAAGAAAAATCAGTTTTTTTAATAAAATCACCAATAAATCCAGAGTATCCTGAAACTTTATGTTTTTGTGTATTAATTCGACTTCTGGTGATTTCATTTTTTAAAATAATTTTGTTGTATTTTTCAATGGTTTCTTTAAATTTGTCTGTTTTAATTTTGGTATTGAAAAATACTGAGGTGTAATTAACTTCAGTTTTATCACTGAATGATAACATAAAGTTCATATCGTTTATTTCTATTGCAAAATTTTCATATTTCGACATCACAAAAGAATTTTTGAGTAGTGTAACTGCTGCATTGGTGTTCTTCATTCTAAAGTATTTCTTTGCATAATTTTCAATAAATTCGGTTGCCTTTATTCCATTAATTTTACTTAATGATATATTATTATCATCTTTTGACTTCAATAAAGTGACCAATTCTTTATCGAAAAAATCGGTTACTGGTGATCTTCCAATTTTCTCAGGCACTTTTATATAAACAGCATCTTTTGTCAATTGAAAGGTGAAAGGATTTATAACAAGAAAATCGCCAATTTTGTGTGTAGTTGTGTTACTTTGTATATTCAAAGCAAAGTGCAAATCTTTTGGCAATGCGAACATTTTAAATAATCTTATGAACAAATCATAGAGCGGAAATTGCTCTTCTGAATCTTTAATAAACGTGTTTATTGTGTTGATTTCAGCCTGAATATCAACTGGAGTATGATAATTGGGCATACTCTCAGGTTGTGGAGGATTTTTGGCGATATCAAAAAATGCAAAAGCTCCAATATATTTTACCATGTTATCAAAGAAATTTTGAGCTTTTAATTTTGTAATCATAGTCTTTTTCATTTCACCTATTGCAGCCGATGGGGTACATAATTGTGTTTCACATTGAGATAAAACAGACACGAGAAACAGAGCAAATAACATCTTATTTTAAAACAAGTTTTGTATTGAATTGTATTAATTTATTTTGAAGTCATTTTTTGACCTCTGGTGCTTATTGTCAAAATTGTATTTTGTTTTATACTTTTCATGTTATTAAAGTAATATCAATATTTTTAAATGTTAACATTTATTACTTTACAATTTATTAGATATATATTACACATAAAATGTAATAAAATACCATTCACAAAATATTTTATTTTGAAATGTTATGCAAAACAAATTTATTGATTGCATTGACAAAAAAGTTTGGCTCGATTAAAAAAACTATCATTTATTATAAACAACCATTTATTATTAGTTTCTATTTTTAATATTTATATTATGAACAAGGCTAATAAGAATTCAAATCAGATAGGGAGACGCCTTAACTCAGGATTAAATAAAAACGAATTTGTACACAGCAGATCTTAAAGTTACGTTTTAATAGTTCTTAGCTGTTTGTACTGTGCCTCCTTCACAATAAACGTATGATTTGTAATAAATTCAAATGGTTGACAAGCTGCTTTGAACATTTGCTGAATTGTATTACTCAAAATAGTTCAAATTAATTTTATGTTATTATAAATCGCTTGCCTCAAAATGCCACATTCAAGTTTTTGATTACTGAATTGTGTTGTTCGATTATATAATTAATAAAATAATTTATTTAATAACTTTTAATTGTGCTTTTTTGTGTTTGAAAATCTTTATTTTCAATTCCAAAACATACATTAAATTTAGCAATTTACTTTTTGGCAAAGGTCAGTAAAGCATTGTAATAACATTTTTGCTTAGTCTAGTAATAACACAATACTAAAAATTGTTTAATTTACAACACCATGCTTACTTGTCAATTTTAATTATAAAAACAAAAACACCAAATCAACTTTAAAATCAAAGTACTAAAAACACCCAAATAAATAATTGAAATGGATAACTATAAAATTGCCGTTTTAGGTGAATGTGGAGTTGGTAAAACTTTGTTACTAAACAATTTTACAGATAATCCCAGTGATGATTCTGATGATTATCAGAAAATAGAAAACGACTTTCCAATGAAAATAGTGTCTTACAAAGACGAAGAAATTGTATTATCTTTCATCGAAACTTCATACGACAAATATCCCTCCATGCATGAAACAAATATCAACCAAACTGATTCATTTGTTCTAATATTTTCAATAACTTCTCGAAAGTCTTTTGAACAGATTCCGACATTAAGAAATGATATTTTAAGAGTAAAAACCCTTCTTACCAACGAAAAATTAACTTTAGTATTATGTGGAAATAAAAGTGACTTAGAACATATGAGAGAGGTGACCACAAAAGAAGGTCTTCAAATGGCCGATAAATTTGGTTGCGTTTTCTATGAAATTTCAGCAAAAAACAACACCAACATTGATGAGATGTTTAACGCTTTAATAAATGAAGCTTTCAACAACAAAGTTAATAAGATTCAAAATCAATATGAAATTACATATAAAAATACAAAGGAAGATTATAAAAACAACGACAGATTTATTTATACTCCAACTATACTCCAAGAAAAACCCGTAAAGAAATATTTAGACGATTATGAAGAGGAATATGAAGAAGATAAAATTCAAATAAAAAATTATGAAAATATAGAAAATTTAGAAAATGAAAATGAAAATCAAAGCGATGAAATAACAGAGAAAAGGAAATTAAATAAATGTTTAATAACTTAATTAAATTTATGGTATGTTTGTAGTCGTGTTGAATCAAAACAATAAAATAATTATAATATATAATCATAATAAATAGAATTATATTATTAATTATAATTAATAGTATAATTATAACATTTTGAATTATAAATTATAATTTATAATATAATTTAACTATAATTGACAAATACATAATTATTATTATAAAAAATTAATAATTTATTTTAATAATAAATTTGTCTTTAGTTGTTTATTCACAAACAATAAAAATACAACATATGTCAATATGAAAATAACTTAATTACAACAAAGTTAATATAATTATACCAACTACTATCATCATAAAGTGTTCACTATCACTTCTCATATTATCATTTTCTTGTTCAACACATTTTCCCATTGTTGTACATACAAATCCATCTCTACAATTACCACACGTCGGTTCACACCCAACTTCCCATATTCTTTCGCCAACATCAATTGAGTTTCCATCGACGGTGCACTCTGTATTTAAACAGTCAAAAACAGTGGAATTGCAATTTTTAATATTACTTGTCTTTTCAACTCTAATCATCTCACCATTAATTAACTCGACTCTATCACCAATTTTACTCAAATAAGTAATTGACATACAATTCACGAATTCGTGTTGTGTGTTATCAAATCTTGCTTTTAATTTGACAATGTCTCCATTTTGGTAGTAATCAAATTTAAGTCCGCTTCGTACTAAGGTTAAAGAACCCTTCACATCTTGCTCTCTAATTTTCTTTGATATTGATATCGCCACATTGACTATTCTCATATTAAAATTGACTTTAAAAGTCAAGACAAATTCTTTATATTCTTGTTCCATCATTTCTGGCACTGCATATCCCATAAGAAATGTTAAGTAATTGTTAACTTCTGTTGTTTCAATGACGGGTTTAATACTGTCTATTTTATCAGTGTAATATACACCATTTTTATCTTGATAATTCTTATAGTAGTACCAATTCATCAATTGTTGCACTCTTGTTTCGTTCTCTGAAAAGATTTGGGACTCTCCTAAGTACTCGCAGTGCTTTATTTTCTTCGACACAAATTTTGAAGATGCAGGAAAACTGCCTATTTGGCTTAAAGTTACATTTTCAAATTTAATTTTCTCGTTTAAAAAGGAAACCAAATTGAGTGAAGAACGTCCACTTGTAATTGGCAATCTGTATATATCATTTTTGTCTTTGCGATACTGCGTGTTATTAAACTCAATAAATTCATGTGGTCTATTACAGTCGACTATTTGTATCTTGGCCATATCATCTTTGTTATCAAGAACCCAAAGGGTCGGACTTTTCTGTATGTCGAAATCAGTTTCAGCAACAGTCACTTGCACAAAGTTGTCACCTTCATATGCAAAACCAGCAGTCAGTAAGTGGAAAAGGTGTTCTTGAAAGCCAATGTATGTAGTGACATAACTTGTGATCTCTTCTCCATATAATTTGGGGTGGAAGGAACCCGCTACCATACACAATACTGGCGTGTCTAAATTGGAACCATTAATTTCGAGCCATTGCCCACACCGAGAAACGTTGTGACCATTTTTTGCTACTAATAGAAATTTGTCTTGGACATAACATTCAGAGTGAAGGTTGTACCCTTTCACTGTCTGTTTGTACTTGGGTATTAGTGAATAACAGTCAGAAGTAATTTCATAGGTTAGTCCAACAGCGTTCATATTAGCTGCTACAAAATCACTCGTACATATTGGAGTGATCACTTCTTCTGTTTCATTTTCATCAATTAAAATTGGTTGGTTATTTGATGGACTGTCTTGTGCAAATGAAAAGAATGATAATATTAAACACGTGAATAATGAGAAGTAAGTCGGGTATAAAGTCATTTTTATTGTTAAGTTAGACTCTACATTAATGAGATGTGATATGTATAAATATTAAACAAAGTCCTATAAAAAAAATGTATCAATAATCTATTCAAAAAGCGTTTCGAAAAGTTAACTCCAATTTTCTTAAAGATTTACACAATAAATTTATTTTAATGAAATTGTTAAATTAATTTATTAAAATGTTTTGATATTGATATGGTTACGAATTCCAATGAAAAAAATAAGAATTTTTATGTGTTTTGAAAAAGAAACACATTCAAAATAATTGGATTAAATTTAGTATTTAATAAAAACTTACATATTTTGGATTTATTTATTATTGTTATTTAAATAAATACCATTTATGAATTAACTGACTGCATATTTATTTTAATTTACATATATAATAATAGTCTTTAAAATGAATATTTTGGAATCGTTTGATATTAAAATAACTACATTAGTTTGAAAATATATAAAAAAGAAAAAATACCATATTATAACAACTTAAAATTAAATAACATTTAAAAATATACAAGATGAAAATATCCCAAAGTATTATATTTAAAAAAGCAATTGTTTATATAATATAAATAATAATAGAGTGTTTTACTTATAAAAAAGTAACCAAAACTGTGGGAATATTGTATAGAATCGTTTACAAATCGAATTAATGTATATTAAGCCGCAAAAAATAAATGTAAAAATATGGCACTATTTATACACAAAAACGTTTTTAGTTCATGAGTAGTATTTATGAATATTATTAATAATTATTATCATATATTTGTAAATATTAGTAGAGCCATTTTCTTAACGTTGTTTTTTTCCAATTTTTCCTTTCATTTTTAAATGGTTATGACTAGAATGTATGGTAATAATTATCGAAATGTCAGAAAAACACCGTTTAAGTTTTTTATATTTATATATTTTTGGGTTATTCCCAATTTTTAAAGGGTTTGTTGTGTATTTTTTTTCGCAAAAAAAAACAACGTTTTGGAGAAAAAGCAACGTTAAAACGCCGACTTTATAACTAAAAAAATATTTAATAAAAATTAGAATATTAATAAATGTTACTTTTATTAAATTAATTATTATAATATGGTCATTTTACTTTATGTGAAATATTACTTACTCACAAATATGTTAAAATATATAGTTGATTTATTATATTTAAAAAATTTTGATTTTTCCAAAATTTGATAAAAAAACACAAAATAAAATTGAAAACACGAATAATTTTAATTTTATTATTGTTAGTGAAAAAAAACACGAATAGTAAACAATAAATTATTATTTTTAATAAAGAATATTATTTATGAATATTATATTTGATATGTTCTGATAACTCTCAACATATCATAGCAGTTTAATGAACAAAAAACATCTTGCTATTTAATATTATTTAACAACTTAATTGGAAAAGGCATCCTTTGAAAGTGAGCACTCACTGGATTGCCCAGTAAGGAAACAAGAAACGGGGACAATGAGGTAGTTCAGAGAGATGACTGTTCGGAGTCATGTGAGCCTACCAATGAGTTGTGCGTAATGTAATTGAATTTTTTTGCAATTAAATAATTAAATTGATATAAAAAATGTTTAAATTATTCAATCAACAGTTGTGAAGAACAATGAGCATCGTAAAAGTGTGGTAGTTTTAAAACGATCTCAATGACAGCCCATATTATTTCAATGTTTTTTAAAACCAGCCAAATCGAAAAAGTCACGCCCAGTAAACGCCGTCCAAAGCGTTTTTGTTGACATCGTTTGTGTCATTGTCATTTTGTTTGGCAACAAGTCAAGCTGGTAGTAAGTTTAATACCGTTTTACAAAACAAAGAAAATACAAACTGGTATCGGAATTTCTTATTACGTTGAATAAAGGCGCAGGGTAGATAATTTAAGCATTAAATTAGTATAAATTTTAAACTTCTTGTATTCTTGTTCAAAGTTATTTAAAAACAACCTCGAAATAGCTTTATACATAAGGCAGACTGTTCGGTATTTTTATACTGTTTTTCAACTTTTAAAATAGTTTTGTTATATAAAAAATAATAAATGTCTTGCATAATGCAAAGTTTTGCATAAGGCAAAACTGTCCATACTGTATTCACATTAAAAATATTTTCTCTTCTTTTTATTAAATCACAATTTTTGACTTGAAACAATTTGATGTTATAAAAATTAATTAATATATTAATTATAATAACTATAAATATACATTTACAAATCTATTTATAACTTTCAATGAGTCAATAAAATAACTTAATTGGTTAAAAAGTAAATTTACTATTCTAACAATATTGATAAATTAATCAAATATAGAATATTGGCACTTGAAAATTATATACCAACAAACAAAAGAGATGTCCTTATTTATTACAACACTTTTACTTCTATTTGATTTTTCTTATGGTTATTTGACATCTTCACGACTCTCCAAATTACGTTTAAATTCAAAATTAAACACAAAAGCAAACAATTTTGACTTTGTAACAATAAAGTGCCATGGTGTAGTAGTCACTATTACACCACAATTAAGGCATTTATATCCGGACTGTACTGACTATATCCAACCAATTAATAACAATAACACTTATTATGGTATTCAATGTAAATGTTACACCGAGTACATCATTTCTGATGACATTGGATTATATGAGAATTGCACGAATCATGGTATTATGAATTTTAAACACACACAAAACTTCGAGATGCAACTTCTTTCTTCGATTCAAAGGAGTGATGTTGTCATCCAAAATTGTGAAGGTAAGCAGCTCTCAGTGTCAAATTGCGTTTTTGATGAAATGGAAATTGGCACTGCTAACATTATATCACTTAATTTGTATATCACAACATTGGTTCACTTCAATGCGTTAAATACAAGTTTTGTGGATGCCAATTTAAACTATCTGAATATGCAAAACGCTGTATTTGGCGACGTTTATATGACTGGAATATACTTACAAAATTCGCTTGTGTCAAAGACTTCTTTTGATAAATGCACAATCGGCACACAAAAATCCAATATATTTGAAGATGTAGTTTTCTCGTCTTGTAGTTTTTCAAAAACAAAATTTGAATTGTTAAAATCGAAAAATATGATTTTGGAAGGTGGAATTCTTAGAGACGTGACTTTCTTAAATTCTGAATTTGTTGGATTTGAAGCAAAAAAACCAACACTTGAAAATGTGAACTTCGACAATTTGATATTCACAAATTGCAATATTAATGTGAAAGTGGGGAAAGACGTCACATTTTCCAATTCAAAATTTAACAACGTGACTTTTATAATAGAAGGAATAGACGAAAAATTTGAAATCAAATTCATTAACGTCTTATTTGAAAATTCAGTAATGAATAAAGATGTGTTGGATAATAAAAGTGGCAATTTTGTGTTTGAAAATTCAGAAGAAAAAAATGGAGACAAACACAAGAAAACAATCATCGGCGCCATCATCTTTGTGTGCATCGCTGTCGTGTTTGTGGTTGTGGTCTTAGTTGTGGTTAGTATTTTTATGGGACTTTATTTCTATGGAAAAAAGAAGCCAGAAGATAAGGGGTATTCAAAAGCAGATAATTAATTATTTAAGTCACAAGTGTTGTTGTTGTTTTTTCATTAAAATTAGTTTAAACTAATTAACTTTATTAACACTTAATATATCATTTTACATAATTCAAGTGTTCCTAAACGGGAAATTACGAATATTTCAAAATTTTTTATTATTTATTTTATATTATTCTAAAAACTAATTAAAAAAAGAATTATTTATTAAAACCATTAATTTATAACAAAAGTATTTGTTCTATAGTGTTTGTCCGTGGTTCTATGTATTTTAAAAATTAATTGTTTTTTAAATGGTAAATTTATAATAAAATTATAACTCTTTATATAGTTTATGAAACACACAGACACAAAAAATATTTTTATACCCAGTGAAAACGTCTTTGATAATAAGAGGATGTTTCTAAAAGATAAAGTACGTTTTTGGATTATTTATCAGTACTTTGTCTTCGTGTCTGTTTTTCTTTTAAATATAAAAATTAATAAAATAATAATAAAATATAATAAATATTGTTATTTAATTGAATAAGTAATTAATTAAATATTGTTTTTAAATGGAATTTATCTCCATCAAACACCGAAAATCCAAATTTGATTTTATTCTCATTCAACTCGACATTTTCAAGAAGATAACAACTCGCAAAGGCCATGTGATCTATCTCTGTTACACTCTCTGGTATTTTGACATTATTTAAACTCTCACAATATGAAAAACACCCTCTTCCTATTGTACAAATACCTTCATTTAATGTAATCTTTTTCAACAATTTACATTGATGAAACGTGTACTCAAAAAGTGTTTTTATGCCTTTTGGAATGACGACCTCTTCAATTGCAAAACAGTTAAAGAAGCAGTATTTTCCTATCGTAACCACACATGGTGGAATATCAAGTTCTTTGAGTTGTGTTGATCCAGAGAATGCATAGTCTCCAATGGCAGTCAACACATTAGGTAGTTTAAGAGAGGTCAGTTCACTATTTGTATAAACTTGTTTGTCGATTTCGGTTACCATGTTTGAAGGAACATCTCCATATTTTGATCGATCTGAAATGGTGTATAAAACGTTACAGAAGATGTTATTACCTTTTAATGTTGCGACTTTGTCATATGTTACTTGATATAAATATTTTCTTGCAAAGAAGGTGAGATCATCTAATATGTCATCTTCTGGGCTGTACAGTACCAACGTCTCTATTTTAGAAAAATAAATCGAATGGGTTTTGTGTGTAAGTGGTATTGGGTTGTAATGGAACTTCATCGTTGTTTGACGAAACTTTTTGCAGACCATTTGTACGGTTTTGAAATCGGTAATTGAAGTGAAATATTTCGAACATATCATTAAATTATAACCGTCTAAACAGGACATTTAATTATATATTTTTTATTTTAATCAATTTTCAGTTCATTTTTTTAGTTTAATTTTTTTACCTAAAAACATCTAACTTTGTTTTTTATTATACAAAAATATTTTTTATATGTTATTTACTTTTATCCAAAAAGTAAATCCATTTACATTTACATTTATTATTCAATTATTCTGATTAACACATTATACACAATAACTACAAATTAAATATACAACAAAAACATTTCTTTTCTAATTTAATTTACTTGGATTAATCTGATTATGTTGTCTTGTCAATATTATAAATAAATTATATTAAAATGATGTATTTGATCTGTATTTGTTATATTATTTTTATTATCAATAATTAAATAAACGGATCAAAATTTTACAAACAATTACAATTTGAATAAAATCAAATATGAAACAAACACTGTTCTACAAAAAAACATTCGATAGTGTGTAATATTGAATATATAATTTGTGTTATTCATCTTAACAAGTTTCTATATTGAACATAAATAATTAAATAATTTCTTTCAGTTGTGTAACACAATTTTTACAATTTAAATTTAATAACATTTATTTATAAACAAATTAAAGACGTTATAATAAAATTATTATAATTAGTAAGGGGATATAGTTCAACGGTAGAATAGTTCCTTTCAACAAATGATTCTTGGAAAAGACTATGGGTTCAACTCCTATAATCTCCACTTTTATTTTTTTTTGTAAAAATATAGTTATATTTATAATATATAAATTATAATATTATTAAAAAAAATGTGAGTAAAATGAATTTCTTCTTTTAGACGAGTTTGACAGCTTCTGGCAAATTGGAATCTCTACCAATACCGCATCTATTGTTTTGGTTTCGAGCTAACAAAAAGTGGCCCTGTATTTGAGTTATTTATTTTATAAATTTATGTAATAATTGTTTAATAGTTAATATCATTAAAATAATTTTATAAATTCAAAATACAAACTTTGTCACCCCAACTTTCACCCCATGAGTTTCTGATGATCCAGTACTCACCATCATCATTCTTTCCATACCCAACAACAGTGACGCAATGATCCATCACAAATCTTTTGCATTTTTCGTCGTTATAAATAGTTCCTTTCTTATACAACTGGAAAGAAACACGAGAAGCGTCCATTCCAACAGCAATTGGTCCATAAGTTGCCGTGAGATCTTGTAAACCCGGCTCACTTCCGTCTGTCACTCTTTTTGCACCAGTCACCGTTGCAATGTTTCTAACTCCGGTTTTACAAGTTCCATTGTCTGCAATATATGGATAAGTTTCTTCTAAAGTAATTCCGTTGTTACTCTTGATGAAAGCAAAAGCATTGCTTGGGTGTCCACCTTTACATTTGTTGTCAGTTGGATCACAAGAAATCAATTGTTGTTCCGAGAATGAGTAAAGAGTCCCAAGGTCTTTGTTGACTCTTCCTTCCATTGTTGCAGCAGTACAGAACGCCCAACACCCGCCACAATGGGCTTGATCCTTTGCTGGATTCATGATACTTCTCCAGTCAACAGATTCTGGAACTGATTTCACTTCTTGTTTGATTGTTGCAACTTCGGGGACTTCATAAGACGCCCCAAGGTGGGACTTAATAAACTCTTCATGTGTTAAATCAGCAAATACATTCAATTCAGTATTCGGATTTGCTGCTACAAACTTTGCATTGTCAAGAAAGACAGCCAATCTGTAGAGGTACTCTGCCTTGTTGGCATAGACTTTGTGATTCGCGTGAATCCACTTTTCAAATGTTGGAGTTGACAAAGCAATGGCTATCAAGAAGAAAGCTAACATTTTGAAATTGAGAATTGTATTTTTCATTTTATACCTGTTTTTTCGTACATTTTTTTTCTGGAAGAAAAGAAAACAATTTGGGTTTTGTGTTTTTTATAAGTGTCAAATTATAGTATTTAGTGTTATTATTATTTACATCTTTATGTTATTATTAGATAATTTTCTATCTTTAAGTAAAATATCAACTTAACATTTTAATTTTTAGAAAAGTTATTTTGTTTTCAAGTTTACAAATGTAATTAAAAATTTTTATATTTTAAATTTGTTTTCAATTCACATAATGTTTTGTTTTTATTGGGGTTTGGTATTTTAAAATATTATTAAAAAACTATATCAATTTTTTTAAATATAAAATTGTTATTCATTTACAAATAATGCAAAACCATGAATTTTCAAACAAAGTCGATTTTTCGACACAAATTCAATAATTAACACTTTCATAACGGGACCTACATTGACCACCACCACCTCTTAAAATAGATTTATTTTTTCTATTTCGAATCATATTCAAATTAAAATTATAGTAAATAGGTAACTGGGATAATATTAGGTCTGGTTCCCGAATTCAAAAAATGCCGAAAATTCACCTCGAGTCAGTGGAAACCGAGAAAGACGGAGCATTGAAAAGAAGGCTCATAAAGACGCACTCAAACAGTCTGTTTGTGCACCGTTTCACCCACTTTCCAAGTCCTCCCTTGGCGCGGATCCCTCCCTGACCCCCCCCCCCCCGCAAGCGGGGGGGGGGGGGGGGGGAACCACATCCGCGTCCACACAGTACGGACAAGGAAAGTGGGTGACATGGGGACGCACAAACAGTGGCTGAAAAGTGGACTTCCTTCAAAAAACACTCGCGGCAAATATTTTTATTTTGGTAAACGGG